CCCCTTCAGCTTTGTTTCATTTAAAGCCAGGCACAGTTTCTTCCATTCATAACATCCACATCATCTCTTTTTTATCATCTTGCAAAACTCCACGCACATTCAACTTCCCATTTGAAATTTTTCTTCTTATTTTTTTTAGTAATCTTTAAGGAAAAGGGGTTACTAGCCCATTTTTCCCGGCTTTTTAGTTGACTTTTACAACACGCTGGTTTAGGGAGGAAAATTCTTTTTCCACTTCCCCTGGATATAAAAGGAAAATTTAATAAGACCAAGAACTTTTAAGATAAAATAAAGAAAACTCAGATGATGGGTATAAATAAATGTGTCATGTAGGTATGTGACCTAGTGTAATGAAGTAGCAAGCATGCCTGTAATCTTGCTATTATGAGACGACAAAAACATAGAAATCCTACCATCATGAAAACAATCACAGGCTTCTTTTTCCTCATTTGGGCGGACGGTATACCCCCCTGGGGGGTTGCTGTCTACCAACCTACTACCTACATATATATATAATATAATATATATATATACATTATTATAAAAATATATATTTTGAAGCTCATGAATTAGGGGGTCAGTTGTACTTAATTCCCCAAGTTTTATTGTGCATTTATAATTTACAAAAAAGTTTTTTACGTTCAGAAAAATATCATATTACTAACAAAATTTTAAAAAAATAATTGGCCAATAAATTTTTCTTAGGGTGGCCGATTGCCCCAATGAATTCAAGTCTTGCTTGATCTCCTGGCACTCCTTTGGTAAGGATCGAAAGGGCGAGATTGACCTTCCAGCGCATCACAGCATTTTTGACCTAACCACGGGGTTCATTCATTTTTGATGCCTTTTTGGGATTTCATGACGGGGGGAAATTTAGATTCTGATACGCAGAGCAATCATTGACTCCTTAGGGATCTTGCTGGAAAAAGGGTGAGACAAAAAAATTTTTTATAAAGGGGTCTTTTGATTTTCAGGGGATGTGTTAACCTTTTTGATCTTTGAAGTGACTTTAGATAATTTGCATTACTAAACTTTTTATATTAAAAATTATTATATTCATGAGCAAGTATTAAATGCAAAAAAGTATACTTTTCCCTGGAGAAGGGGGGGAGGGCAATCGATTTTATCAAATAAGTGGAGAGTACCCCAAATTCCATGTACAAGACCCTTCCGGGTTTTAAAGGCATTTCTGTTTAAAGGGTGTGTAAAACGGGGGTAATATTTTGTGAATGGATTCAGGGAAACTAGTTAGTTGGACTTGAGTCCTGGAAATGGGAAGTACAGTACAATGCCTGAACTTTAAAGGAGGGGTTTGGGGAATTGCAGTTTTGGGGGGATGTCTAAACTGGTTGTCTGATGCCTTTGTCAAGACAGTGTTTTTGTGAAAGTGTTGAATGATGATGAAAGTTCTATCTTTTTGGGTCACCCTGCCTCGGTGGGAAACAGCCAATGCGTTAAAAAAATAAAAAACAAATATATTATTAAAAGACCACAAGAAAATAATGCTGTTATTGGGTGAAACAATTAGGTGTGTAGTTTTGAGCATGTACCCTGTGATTGCTACATTAGTCTCGACCCCTCATGGGAGGTGCCTTGATGATGTAAGGTTCATCATCAGGGAATTGGAGCTACCCCCTCTTTCCTTGTATCAGACCTGATTGCCCTCCATTCCTCAGGAGCTGTATGACCCATATGGGTTTAGTGCTTCCCCCATAAATACAATAATACATCTTGATACATTGCAGTAGAACAGATTAACCCTTTCAGGGTTTCGGCCCAACTATACGGCTTGCGCACCAGTGTCCATGATGTACTAGTACCAAAATTCTAGCACCCCCAAAACTAGTGAGAGAAAGTGGTAGGGGTACATAAAAAGAAAGGGTCATATGGTCAGTGTCCCGGGTTAAAAAAAAAACCTCAGCACAGTCGTAAAGAGAAAAAAAAAAATTTTTTTTTGGTTTAAAAAAGCAAAATTTTCACTGTATTTTTGTATGGGATTTTTGTTGTATTTTAGTTTTCCCGGTCTATTTTATAGAATGGGAAGACATATTACGAAATAGAGATGATTTTGACTGGTATTTAAAAGAAAAGTACCTTGAATTGAGCTAAAGTTTCAGAAATGTTCGATTTTTACCTTCAGGGGCTAATCCCCGGGTTTAGCGCTTCCCTTTATTTTAATAATAATAATACCAAAGTTCAAAAATAAAAAAATCATGTCAAGCATCCAAAACACGCAATGGGGGAGTCTAATATTCTTTTACAATGGCTGATTTATTTTTACCATTTCTAAATAAAGCAGTAGTCTGCATAACAGTAAATCTTCTGTTTTTTTAAAATAAAAAAACAAAAGTGGAAAGCAAAAGAAATATAAAAGGGCCGGGTGTGACTAAAGAACAGAGAACTTGTTTTTAGTGCCAGGAAAATGCTTTCTTGTTTATTCTGGACCCATTCAGAAATTGGGATCTTTTGAAATTTGTGTGAAATTGGCAAAATTGCTAAATTTGACCACTTGATTGGGTAGTTGAAATCGGGGAAATGGTGGTTTCTTGTACTCATTCGATAGAAAAAAATGGAGTCTAGCGAAATAGTTATGATTTTTGTCGACTACTACACTGGAATTGGGGGAAAATAAGGGCTCAAAGTGGGGGAAAATTTCCCATGCATAAGCCGCTAACTTTGCGAGAGCAAATTTCCCTAAGTTTTTTTTCCCTCAAATTTTATACTTTGGTGCCCCTTATGACCGGGAAAAGATTCTCTATTTTCCCCCAAGAATTTTTTTTTTTTTTTTTAAATTGGGGACCCCAAACAAGTCTTGGAGAGGGCCTGGGGACCCAAAGGGTTAAAAGGGAATCCCAAAATCCAGGAATTACCCCCATGGCCAAAAAATACCGGCCTGAGAAATATACGTTTTGCTAACATTGCTGTGGGATAATTTAATAAGGCCCGAGTCAGAGTTTTTTGATGATTTCTTTTGTTATAATTCTACAAAACAGTCTCCCTAATTTCTGGCTGCAAATTCAATCTATACTGATCTTTAAAAATATTACTATATCTACTAAATTTATGTACTGTATTAAAGAAACACAAAGCTGATTTTACCAATACATATTTTTTAATTTTATTTGAGCTAATTTTGTATACGTACTCTATATATAAATTTTTAAAGATGGGATAATTATATATTCTTGTGATATAACTAAATAGATGTTTTTTCTGTGCAGCCATACATCCTACCCGAAGAGCTTCAGCGTGAGCTGCCCCCAGACCAAGCAGAATATTGCATCCAGCGCATGCAGCCTTATACTGGTGTTGGTGTTCCTCCTGAGGCTCTTGACTACATGTCCTTCTCCACTTCCCTCTATGGTGAATCTGACCTGTAAATCCTACATTAATCAATGGGGAAGACAAAAACCTCGCACACTATCAACATAGAAGAGGGTAAATCACTTATCACGCCCTCAGTCGAGCATGACAAGTGACTGACAGAGAGCAAAGTCACAATAAAGGACAGTGTTTCATTGTGAATCATTATTTTTACATTTAGGTTGACTATTGAAAAGTGAACCCAAGATGGTGTTTAGTAAACTTACAAACTACGTAACATGTGTCCTGGTGATATGTAGAGCAAATTAGAAAAAACTTAAGCCCAGAGACCATTCTTGAACCCTAGTCCAGCCAGTATTGATACTGTTAAGAACATTGCTCTGCACAAATATTCAAATCTAGGGGCAGTGACTGGTAGTCATGACCTCAACAGTTCCTATGACAGTGTTGGCCACACATCAAATGCCAGTCACTGCTGCTGGACAGCGCAGTTTACAATGGCAGATTAGATGACGATATCTGCAGGTGCTAGAGGAGGAGCAGGTCAAAGGCCAGAAATTTAAACAAGTTTGGCTCAATGCAGGCTTACTGACTTATGCCTATCAGCCAGAGTCTTTTTACTCTTCTCAAGACTCTTATTTCCAGCTCATAATATACAAAAATAAAACTGGTACTTTGTCTGTAACTTGTCATTCATGGACTATCAAGAGACCCTAAGGTATTAAATTATAACCAAACACTGCCGCCGATAGTGCCTCCTCCTCAGTTGTTTGTTCTTCCAGTGATGTCTCCCTGTGGCCTCTATTCCAAAATGTCTAGGTAGATCATCTTTCCCATAGGAAGCAGCAAATGGTGATCACCCAGTCAAAATGTGATGCACTATCAACATCAGTTATAATACTGTATAATGAAAGCTAATTCTACCTGATGTTCAAGAATTTAGGCCTCCATGTCTTGTAGTGTAATTATGGAATCTAGTCCTGACTGCTGTAGCCAAGCACTTTTTTTTTTTTTTTTAAAGCCAGCAAGCTGCTGCTTCATAAGCAGAGTTTTTGTTGTAAATATACTCTCAATAATTTATTACAAAAATCCTGCTTCTTCTATGCTAATGTAAATTATAACTACTGATCTTCCTTCAATGGTTTGTGATGTGTATATTGCCTATGTGTGCTGCAACACTGGTTCTGTAAAAACCATATTGTATCATTATGTAAATCTATAATAAAGGTTATTAACAAGTGGGTGAAGGTGATTACCTGCTTAGCATTCATTGGTTGAGGAGCTTTGTCTGAGAAAACCCTTGTTTCAGACAAATGCTTTTTTTTCAGTGTATGTCTTCTCAAAAACTTTTATGTGCTTTGTTTATAAGAGAGCTGCAACTGTGTTTGTCATAATTAGATAGCATTTTTTCAAAAATTTGGTCTTAAATATAATTATCCTAGGGCAACATTATTTATTGTTACAGGCAATAATAATCACAGACATAACTAGGAACCAGTGACATGATCTTTACACGTACTTTAAATACATTATTTTATAACTACACGTCTGCTCACCTGGGTTCTTAGTTATTTCAGTGTTTACCTAACTACAGTGTATTTACACATTTTGTGTAAAATATACAAATAAAAGGCTAAAAGAGAAATAGTCATACCAATTTCCATCTTCCTACAGAGTAGCTTGTTAAAACATGCTCTCAGTTCCTCAGATTGATATATTAATTTTTCAATGATTTTATGACATCTACTTTAGTGCTGTATGACGTATATGGGTTTGATACATGTTTATGAATAATGTCCACTTACTACAATGTGGTAAAAATTAAGAGTATATGCATATCAATGTTTTTTTTTTTTATGTTAATACAGTGGAACCTCAAAAATCGAACTTAATCCGTTCCAGGAGCTACTTCTAATTTCGAAAAGTCTGAAATTCGAATCAATATTTCCCATAAGAAATAATGGAAATACAATTAATCCGTTCCAGAAACCCAAAAATATACATTTTATAGAGATTAATTACAGTTTTACATACATATAAAATAATACATACATATAATATAAAATAAATTTTTTACTTTATTGAAGCTTGGTGATGGCATCTGGAAGATAGGGAGGAGGAGAGAGGGAGTTGGGGTTGGGGTTAGTGTTTGGAAGGAGAATCCTCCTCCATGAGGACTTCAGGTAAAGCCCTCTCTGGGGTTACTTCCCTTCTCTGTCTTTTAATACCACTAGGACCAGCTTGAGAGTCACTGGACCCCTGTCTCACAAAATAACTGTCCACAGTCCTCTGTTTCTGGTGCCTCTTTAACATTTCCCTAAAATGGTCAGCCTCTGCTGGCCTTAAATTCACTATCAGCACTGGTTCCAGGAGTTTTCTGTACCAGATCGGCATACAACTTTCTTGCCTTTTCGCAAATAATCGTCTCTGAAACACTATCACCTGCAATCTCTATCTTTGATCCACACCAGCAACAACTTCTCAACCTCTTCAACTATTTGTGGTCTTTTTTCGGTTAGCATATTAACACGGCCGGCGTGTTGAAAGAAAGATTAACACCTTTCACAATATCAGCTTCCTTGATTTGTTCTTTCTTTGCCAGGATAGAACCGATGGTCGACTTGTTTTCCCATACATCCTGGCTAGCTCAACAAGTCTCACACCACTCTCATACTTCTGTATTATTTCCTTCTTCACATCTATGGTGTTTCTCACTTTCTTTTCCACAGGGGTACCACTAGCAAATTTCTTTGGGCCCATGGCAGCTTATTTCACAGTCCCACAAGCACTAAACACAACGAAATGCAGTGGTCCCTCGCTTTTCGTAGTTCTCGGCAATCGTAAATTTCGCCAATCATAGGGGTATTTTCGTATAAACATGGACTCGCTTTTCATAGGTTGACTTGCGAATAGTAGTTCGTCCGGGACGCGTACGCACGGTGTGAGCCGGGGAGGCCTCCCTACCCAACCAGTCTGGCATTGTTTACCAGTGAGTGAAGGTCCCCTCAAGTGTTATGCTGTTAATGTTTCATTCATCATTTCCCATTGTATTGTTTATGTACTACATGTATATTTCATGTAAAAAAAATTTTTGTTTTAATACTTCTAGGTGTCAGGAACGGATTAATTGTATTTACATTATTTCTTATGGGGAAAATTGATTCGCAAATCGTAAATTTCGTTTATAGTAGCTCCTCCAGGAACGGATTAATTACGAAAAACGAGACCACTGTAATCGTAAAATGTGTGAATGAGAGCGCAGGTTAGTGTTCACTCAAGCATAAACAAAGCTAGACTGCTCACGGCGCCTGCGCGGGGACGCGGACAGAGCGGACCAGCAGACAGGTCCCATACCCGGCGGTCCGAAATTTGAAACGCGTTCGATTTTTGGTACACAGTTTGTCCGAAAAAATGGTCTTATTTTCGAAACGTTCGATATTTGGTACGTTCGATTTTCAAGGTTCCACTGTATCCAGGGTTTATTACCTGGGCCTCAGCAATGAGTTGCTACTCTCACGGCTGGGCAACGGCGACCAGTGCATATCAATATTACAAAAGAATTTATTGCATAATAGAATGTAATGCAATGTTCCCTTGATAAGTGACAGCCGCATTTATCTAAATAACAAGAAAATAAGAGGACTAAGAGTACCCAACCATGATAGAGCTTAATTCATGCTGGGAAGGAAGGGAGGTCTTAATAAAAAAAAGAAAAAAAATAGAGCTACCCTTCCTCTCTTCCAATCAAAAAGTATTATTGGTACCTCCCATTTCAAAGTTTAGCACTTTCTCATACTTATACAGGTTGATCATCACTAATCCAGCATCATCGGGACCTGTAGGGTGTTGGACTAGTGATTTTTGCCAGATTACAGAGTGGTTAGGTTAGAATAAACTTAACCCAACAGCAATATTTTCACATCAATGATTTCACCCACTTTACACCCTATTTTTGGCCTATTCCATTGTTCCAGTCTACCAAACTCACACATCCTTGTCTAAGGCTTACTTTTACTGGGAAATACTCTCCCTCTCTCCTACATACTCTAACCTGAGCCTCACTATCCTCATAAAAACTTTTCACTGCTTTCGATAACCTACCTCGTATTCCATACACTTGCAACATTTGCCACATTGCCCCCCTATCCACCCTGTCATACACCTTTTCCAAATCCATAAATGCCACAAAAACCTCTTTACCCTTATCCAAATACTGTTCACCTACATATTTCACTGTAAACACTTGGTCTACACACCCCTACCCTTCCTAAAGCCTCCTTGTTCATCTCTGTCTTACTCTTCTTTCAATAACTCTACCATACACTTTACCAGGTATACTCAACACTTTTTTTTTTTCTTAACAAGTCGGCCGTCTCCCACCCAGGCAGGGCGATTCAAAAAGAAAGAAAATACTTTCATCATCATTCAACACTTTCACCTCACTCATACATAATCACTGTCTTGGCAGAGGCGCTCAGATATGACAGTTTAGAAGTCCCTCCAAACTGTCAATATCCCAGACCCCTCCTTTAAAGTGCAGGCATTGTACTTCCCATTTCCAGGGCTCAAGTCCGGCTAAATCTATAATAACCGGTTTTCCTGAATCCCTTCACTAAATATTACCCTGCAAATACTCCAACAGCTCATCAAGTTCCAAAAACCATTCGTGTCCATTTACTCCTATCTAACATGCTCACACACGCTTGCTGGAAGTCCAAGCCCCTCACCCACACCTCCTTTACTCCCTCCCTCCAACCTTTTCGAGGACGACCCCTACCCCTCCTTCCTTCCCCTACAGATTTATAAGCTCTCCAAGTCATTCTACTTTGATCCATTCTCTCTAAATGACCAAACCACCTCTACAACCCCTCTTCAGCAATCTGACTAATACTTTTAGTAACTCTACACTCCAAATTCTCTGCATAATATTTACACTACACATTGCCCTTAGGACATCTCTACTGCCTCCAGCCGTCTCCTCGCTGCAGCATTTACAACCCAAGCTTCACACCCATACACATGTTGGTACCACTATACTGTCATACATTCCCTTCTTTGCCTCCATAGATAAAGTTTTTTGTCTCCACAGATACCTCAGTGCACCACTCACCTTTCTTCCTTCATCATTTCTATGGTTAACCTCATCCTTCATAAACCCATCCACTGACAAGTCAACTTCCAACTATCTGAAAACATTCACTTTTTCCATATTTCCTCTCTCCAATGTGATATCCAATTTTTCTTTATCTAAATCATTTGATACCCTCATCACCTTACTCCTATCTATGTTCATTTTCAACTTTCTGCCTTTACCCCCCCCCCCCCCAACTCATCTACTAACCTTTGCAACATTTCTTTAGAATCTCCCATAAGCACAGTATCATCAGCAAAAAGTAACTGTGTCAACTCCCATTTTGCACTTGATTCTCCATAATTTAATCCCACTCCTCTCCCCAACACCCTAGCATTTACTTCTTTTACAACCCCATCAATAAATATATTAAATAACCATGGTGACATTACACATTCCTATCTAAGACCTACTTTTACCAAGAAGTAATCTCCCTCTCTCTCTTACACACCCTAACCTGAGCCTCACTATCCTCATAAAAAAACTCTTTACAGCATTTAGTAACATACTACCTATTCCATACACTTGCAACATCTGCCACATTGCTCCCCTATCCACTCTATCATATGCCTTTTCTAAATCCATAAATACAATGAAAACTTCCCTACCTTTATCTAAATACTGTTTACATATATGCTTTAATGTAAACACTTGATCTACATATCCCCTACCCAATCTTGCTCATCTGCAGTCCTACTCTGTCTTACCTCTAATTCTTTCAATAATAACCCTACTGTACATTTTACCTGGTTTACTCAATAAACTTATTCCCCTATAATTTTTACTATCTCTTTTGTCCCCCTTCCCTTTATATAAAGGAACTATACACTCTCTCTGCCAATCCCTAGGTACCTTCCCCTCCTTCATACATTTATTAAACAAAAATACCAACCACTCCAACACAATATCCCCCCTGCTTTTAACATTTCTGTCATGATTCCATCAGTTGCTGCTGCTTTACCCCCTTTCATTCTACATAATGGTTCATGCACCTCCCCCACACTCGCATCCTGCTCTTCTTCACTCCTAGAAGATGTTATTCCCCTATAATTTTTGCATTCTCTTGTGTCCCCTTTGCCTTTATACAAAGGAACTATGCAATCCATAGGTACCTTACCCTCTTCCATACATTTATTAAATAAAAGAACCAACCACTCCAGATCTATATCCCCACCTGCTTTTAACATTTCTATCTTTATCCCATCATTCCCAGCTCCCTTATCCCCTTTCATTCTACCCACCACCTCATCAACTTCCCCCAAACTCACAACTCTCTCCTCCTCACTCCTACAAGTTGTTTTTCCTCCTTGCCCTATACATGAAATCACAACTTCCCTATCTTCAACATCTTCCCCATCTTCATCACAGAAGTGATATATAGAAGGTAAAGTACATGGAGAAAAAGCTGATTAAATGAGTGGTGAGAGGGTACAAGAGGAGAGCCAATAAGAGAATGGGTGAGCCTTAATCAACAAATTTCACTGAGAACAAAAAAAAAGTTGGAACAAGATTACTGAGTAGAGAAAGCCTAAGCAAAAGGGAGGTGAGATGTTATATGAAGAGGTGAAGGTACTGGGAAGATAGATGAAAGTATGAAATTTTGTAGAAGGAAGAGCCAGATGCGAGTGCTGGGGAGGTGCTTGAGGCAGTGGGCAGCGCTGTATAGCCCTTGTGGTTTAGCGCTTCTTTTTGATTATAATAATTGAGGCAGTGGGTAGAATACAAGGGGGTAAAGCAGCTGGGACAGATGGGAGTAAGACAGATGGTAAAAACAGGTGGGGATATAATTTTGGAGTGGTTCTTCAAATATATGCATCAAAGATGGGATGGTACCAAAGAATTAACAGAAAGCATGTATAGTTCCTCTGTAATAGGGAAAAGGAGACAAGGGTGTATGAATTATAGGGGAAATATGCCTGTCAATAGTATAAAACCAAACTCAAGTTATAAGGTAAAAGGGGACAAGAGTGAGTGTATGAATTATAAGGGTAATTTTTTTTTTTTTTTTTAACATGTCGGGCGTTTCCCATCGAGGCAGGGTGACCCAAAAAGAAAGAAAAAGCTTTCATCATCATTCAACACTTTCACCACCTGGAGTGTTTCGGGGATCAATGCCCCCACGGCCCAGTCTGTGACCAGGCCTCATGGTGGATCAGGGCCTGATCAACCAGGCTGTTACTGTTGACCGCATGCAAGCCAATGTATGAACCACAGCCAGGCTGGTCAGGTACTGACTTTAGGTGCCTGTCCAACACCTTCTTGAAGACATAAGAACATAAGAAGGGAGGATCACTGCAATAGGCCTGTTGGCCCATACTAGGCAGGTCCTTCACAAATCCAACCCACTAGCAGAATAAATGCTACCCAAGCAATAAGCTTTGAAAATTCTATTTACTCAGGTGCAAGTCCCACTCAAATCCAACCCCTCTCACTCATGTACTTATCCAACCTAAATTTGAAACTACTTAAGGTTTTAGCTTTGATAACCCTACTAGGCAGACCCATCCACTCATCAACTACCCTATTACCAAACCAGTACTTTCCTATATCCTTTCGAAATCTAAACTTGTCTAATTTGAATACATTATTGCGGGTTCTATTTGGAGGGATAGCCAAAAACTTTATTTATATCCCCTTTGTTAATACCCATATCCCCTTTGTTAACCCTTTGACTGTCGCAACCCCCAATCCTGAGGTGTCTCCTGGTGTCGCAAAATTTAAAAAAAAAAAAAAAAAAAAGTCTTTTCTTATGAATGATAAGAGAATCTTTTCCCGATTGTAATGACACAAAAAAACGAAATTTGATGGAAAACTGACAGAATTACGCTCTGGCGAAGTTAGTGACCTCAGCGATATTTCAAATCGGCGATTTCGCCCACTTTGAGCCCTATTTTCAACTAATTCCATTGTTCCAGTCGACCAAACTCATAGCTATTTCTTTAGAACTCTCTTTTTTCTATCGACTGAGTACAAGAAACTGCCCATTTACCAATTTCAACTACTCAATAACGTGGTCAGAAATTTGCAATTTGGCCAATTTCACAAAAATTAAAAAATATGACAATTTCAAAATAAGGTCCAGAATGAACAATGCATACATTCCTTTCTCTAAAATAAAATTTTCTTTGTTCATTAGTCATGTCTCCAGGCCCCTCTGATATTACTCTTGCTTTCTATTATGAATTTTTATTCAAAAAATAGAAGATTTACTGTTATGCAGACTACTGCAATACTGTAATAATTGTACAAATAATGTCAACCCATTCATGACTGCATATTAGAATGGCTAGTTGGACATTTATTGGACAACATCATTTGTTTACTTTTGAACATCGGCAAAAATCAAACATTTCCCCTACTTTGAGCTCCATTTTCAGGTTCTTTTTATAGTAAAATCAATCAAAATCACCTCTATTTCTACAATATGTTTTCCATTCTATCAATTGAGACCAAGAAAACGAGAGTACAACCATAAATACTACATGAAAATAGACCACAAAGTCGACATTTTAATTAAAAAAAAGAAACGGTCCGAGTTTTTTTTTTCTCATTATGCACTGTGTGCTCCAGGATTTTTTTTATATGGTGCACACTGACCACACAGACCCATTCTCTCACATGTGGGTCTACCAGTTTTCTCCTGCTAGATTTGAAGCCGCTAGAATTTATGAGTACATGTATACTGTATATGTCAAACACGGTACCTCGTAAGACGTATATATACGACCAAAACAGTCATAGGGTTAATACCCAAAATCCCCTTTGTTAATACCCAGGGATCTATTGGTAATCCCCCTTATGTATGCTGGGAGGCAGTTGAACAGTCTTGGGCCCCTGACACTTATTGTGATGTCTCTTATTGTGCTAGTGGCACCCCTGCTTTTCACTGGGGGATGTATGTCTGCAAGTCTTTTTCTTTCACAGGGAGTGATTTTCATGTGCAAGTTTGGTACTAATCCCTCTAGGATTTTCCAAGCGTATATAATCATGCATCTCTCCTGCCTGCATTCTAGGGAGTACAGAAATAACAAAAAAAGGCACAATACCGTGACTGGAACGATACACAAATAACCCGCACATAAAAGAGAGAAGCTTACGACAACGTTTCGGTCTGACTTTGACCATTTACAAAGTCACACTGGTTGAAAAACTTTAAGTGTTCCCAGTAACTGAGGCGTTTTATCACAGCTATGTGTTTTGTGAAGGTTCTCTGTACATTTTCTAGGTCGGCAATTTCACCTGCCTTGAAAGGTGCCAGTAGTGTTCAGCAATATTCCAGCCTAGATAGAACAAGTAACCTGAAGAATGTCATCTTGTGCTTGGCATCCCTAGTTTTGAAGGTTCTTACTATTCATCCTGTCATTTTTCGAGCAGATGTGATTGATACAATGTTGTGGTCTTTGAAGGTGAGATCCACTGACATTATCACTCCCAGGTCTTTTACATTAGCTTTTCGCTCTATTATGTAGTTAGAATTTGTTTTATACTCTGATGTAGTTTTAATTTCGTCACATTTTCCATATCGGAGTACAGTCTCTCCTCGCTTAGCGACGCCTCAAACTTACGATGGGCTCTCTGACCAGTACACATGCCTAAATAATGTATATTAGAGCTGATTTCCTTCATTCTGTTTACGTATTACAATAGACAGTACACTACTGTATAAACATTTAAAAATATACCAGAAATGTTATGAATGATGCAAAGGTGACATTAAAACAATATCAAAGATAGTTGACACAAACCCACTACCATTATAGTGTGCTCCTCACTTAGCAATGAATTCGTTTACCGACGTGGGCTTAGGAATGGAACTCCATCATTAAGTGAAGAGAGACTGTAATTGAAATTTCTCATCACTGAACTTCATATTGTTTTCTGCGGCCCATTTAAGGATTTGTTTGATGTCCGCCTGGAGTCTTGCAGTCTTCAATGGAGGACACTGTCATGCAAATTCGGGTGTCATCTGCAAAGGAAGATATGGTGCTGTGGCTTACATCCCTGTCTATGTCAGGTAAGAGCAAGAGGAACTGTCCTTGCAGAGGCACTCAAATACGACAGCTTAGACGTCCTTCCAAATTGCTAATATCCCAAACCCCTCCTTCAAAGTGCCGGCATTGTATGTCCCATTTCCAGGACTCAAGTCCAGCTAATCAGTTTTCCTGAATCCCTTCACAAAATATTACCCTGCTCACACTCCAACAGCTCGTCAGGTCCCAAAAATCATTCGTCTCCATTCACGCCTATCCAACAGGCTCACGCACGCTTGCTGTAAGTCCAAGCCCCTCGCCCACACCTCCTTTACCCCCTCCCTCCAACCTTTTTGATGACCCTTACCCTGCCTTCCTACCCCTACATATTTATATGTTTTCCAAGTCATTCTACTTTGTTCCATTCTTTCTAAATGACCAAACCACCTCAACAACCCCTCTTCAGCCCTCTGACTAATACTTTTAGTAACTCTACACCTCCTCCTAATCTCCACAGTACAAATTATCTGCATATTTATACCACACATTGCCCTAAGACACGACATCTCCACTGCCTCACGCTGCCTCCTTGCTGCAGAATTTACAACCCAAGCTTCACACCCATTTAAGAGCGTTGGTACCACTATACTCTCGTACATTCCTTTCTTTGCCTCCATGGATGACGTTCTTTGTCTCCACAGATACCTCAATGCACCACTTGCCTTATTTCCCTCATCAATTCTATGGTTAGCCTCATCCTTCATAAACCCATCCGCTGACAAGTTAAGGGTAAGACAGAAAGTACAAATGCAGAGAAACAAGGATTTAGGAAAAATAGAGGATGTGTATACTAAGTGTTTAAATTGAAGCAGGGGTAAGAAGTGTTTTTGTTGTATTTATATTTATAGATTTAGAAAAGGCATATAATAGGGTGGATAGGGAAGCAATGTGGCAAATGTTAAAATGTATGGAATAGGTAGGTTACTTAAAGCAGCAGAGTACGTGACAAGTAAAGGCTCAGTTTAGGGCGTATGCAGGGAAGAGAGAAGGATAACTTTTCAGTAAAAGAAGACTTTTATACAGGAATGTGTGATGTCACCATGGCTGTTAACATGTAATTCATAGATGGGATTGTAAAAGACGTGAATGAAAAGGTATAAGCGAGAGGTATGGGATTAAAAGATAATGAATTTGTTACAAAGTAGGATTTATCAATGGGAGATTCTTATTAAAGAAGTTTCAAAGGTTGACAGATGAATCTGGAAGAATAAGTAAATAAGGAAATTAAAAGTGAACATAGACAAGAACAAGGCAGTTCAGATATTTAGGAGTGAACGTGTTGGTAGATGGGTCTATGAGAGAAGAGGTAAGCCATAGAATAGATAGGGGGGTGGGGGGATGGTGTGTTGAGGCACCTGTCAACACAAAGAACTTTATCGATGGAGGCAAAAAGGAGAAATGTACCAGAGTATAGTGGTACCAAAACAGTTGTATGGGTGTGAAGCATTAGCTTTAAACATTGCAGCAAGGAAGAGGCTGGAGGCAGTGGTGATGTCATGTTCGTGTGGTGTGAATATTATACAAAGAACTAACATGATTGAAACTAGCATAATTTGGAGAGAGGAAGGGTTGGTGAGGTGGCTAAAGCATTAAGAGAAGATGGAGCAGAATAGGATGACTAAGAGAGTACATAAATCTCGGGTGGAAGAGAGGAGTATATGGGTCATCCTGGGAAGAAAGGGAGGGAGTAAAGAAGATTCAGAGTGCTAGGGGCCTGAACATCTAATAGGTACATCAGATTGAAGCAAGTGGAAACAAGTGGTTTTTATGACTTGACATGCTGTTGGAGTGTAAGCAAGGTAACATTTATAAAGGATTCAGGGAAACTAGGTAGCTGGACTCGAATCCTGGAGGTGGTAAGTACAGTGCATTCTAAAGCATGGGTGAGAATATTGCAGTTCGGTCATCTGAACTGTGATGTCAGCACACTTCTGGCAAGACAATGCTTGCGTTACTAACAGTTAATGTATTTTTTTTTTTGAAAGGGTGGGGGGATTACTCTGTCTTGGTGGAAGACAGCCAGTGTTTAAAAACTGACACAGAAAGGCCACAGAGTTGGTGGTATAAATGACTTCAAGTGTGAGGTGTGAGAATGGGAGGAGAATTAAGATAAGTGATATCACAGCAGTACTGCAAATTCACTATATGTACAGTGGTATCATGAACTATTTCCCTCATTATAAAGGAATATCATTGTATTCACCTGTTAATGATCATCTATTACACTCATTAGAATTAAGCACAGTTCTCTTCAAGACTTCTAGGAAAAAAATCCTCTTACCTATTATATTCTCTTAGCAGTTTCTTGATCTCTGTCGCCCAGGTTTTCTGTCTCTTCATCTCGTCTGACTGTCTCAGTTTTATAGTAGCAGGTAAGGAACACTTTAGCTGCCTCTCCAACCAATGATTTATCAGGTATACTTGCTACTGTACCATACAGCTTTCCCTATGAACCAGATTGTATTCAGATATAATTACTAAAATAATCCAATTTATTATACAGCATGTATAGTAAAGCATGACTTGAGTTTTATTATCTATGAGCAAGACTGCAGAGATAGAGGCAGCAATAAAAAAAAATTACAAATGAAACACAACACCATTTATTGTTATTCCTAACCTTGGTGTTCTTTGTACCTGTCATTTCCTTTCCTTGATTCAATTTATTCTCAGCTTCACTAGTACACACTTTGTCACTTACACATTCCAGGCACTACATTACTCAATATGAAAAAAATTAAAAGATTAAAGATTCAAGATTTTAATTCTTTGCTAAGGTTACAATGTGTAATTACAATTTTGATTTAAGTACAAAGAAAGCCACTATCATGCCATGGCATTTCGGGGAAACTAAAAACATCATCATCATCACAGGTATTTATGTTCACTAAATAATTTCACACCAATTTCGTACACTCAGAACTTTTTTCTCCAAATCATTTGTATTCTTTACTAATACTAATCTTAAATTGTCTTATCACTCACACTAACCCTCATTCACTCATTTTCACATATTATTTTTTAATTGTAATACACACATTACAACCTCTGAGAAAGGAAATGTCATCTGCATAAGCAACTTATCAACTCACAGTTAGCCTAAGGCCAGACTTTCAAGGTTGTTATGTAGCCATAACAACCTTGCTGATTTAAAATGGTTTGCAGTTCCCTGATAAAAACTACATTTGTTCAAGCAATATTTCTCTTATCTGCTGTTAGGAGGCTGAAGAGTTGTGGACCACAGATTTAGAATACTAAACAAGCTGTATGTGTAAACCCCGTCCACTTCTTTAGAAAATTTGACTTTACACATAAACTTCAAGCTAGCCAAACCACAGTGCAAAACAGACAACAGGAATTTTTTGTGGGTGAAAAGATAAATTTATTGACTGTACTACAGTTTAAAAATTCTCTCTGAACATCCTAAAAATAATGAAGCACCCTACACAAGCCTTGGGCTTCTTATCAGCTCTGAAGCCACAAGAGATTGTGGTCAAAAGGAAAATAATGAATAACCATCAGGATATTATACACAGATATACTCTTACAATTATGTTCAGTACACCAGCTTCTCATAGATCTACATTAACTCCTTCATAAAAAACTATTCACTACATCTCCCATTCAAAATATCAACTCCTTCTAAAGTCACATTACCCTACCTTTATATTACCATTATTATTATGATTATTATATATACTGTATAATGTACAGTACTTGATACTTACAAGACTTGCCATGCCCTTAGGTTCAAGTCGAACTTGTTCAATAGCTTCTTTCACAGCATGTACAAAACGACCAGCAAAGTCATCAGCAACTTGTAGTGTTGTTAGGCATATATGTATTCTAGGAAAGAGAAACATCGATAACAAATAAAACATGGCTAAATAATGAAAGGCCTAGCTTTAGAAACAAAACATCTCTAAAAATTCACTGGTATAAAGGCAAGTTCAAGTTATATTTCTGCAAAAGATTAGTTAAGAAATCTTATGAAATTCTTGTAGGACAAACTTTCATCACATCCTGTTTTGCAAGGACTTTTGGGATAACACCAGTGGCGGCTCGTCCATAGGAGCTGCAGAGCTGCAGTCCCCCCAGATGCTCACTGCCAGATGTATGACTTCATCAACCATACGTTACAATAATTTGCAACTGAAAAATATATTACAGGAAAAATCTGTTGTATGTTATTTTCAAGGTATTTATAAGTGAATTTTTATTTTTTTGTTATTGAAATGAGATAAAAAATTATTAAAAACAGAAGTTTGATGCACTATGAAAGTACAGGTATTACGAGCCGCCACTGGATAACACCATTAGCTTTCCAAACTCAATGTACATGTACTTAAAATTAACCAATTTCTGCAACTGTTTCCTCAGTGATTTAACACTTGTATAGGGCGAGAATCCTTAAAGTCAGGTTTCTTGATCCATGGAATGGAAGCTACCTTCCCTCTGCCTGGGATTATACTTAACTACCATCTATTCAAATGTTATATGACCCCTATGGATTTAGTGTTTCCCACATATACGATAACAAGCAAATTAATGATGCTGCCTGTTTGCATTTTTGCTCTTCAATAAAGTTTAGAATTTTCACATTTTTTTTTTTTCAACAAGTCGGCTGTCTCCCACCGAGGCAGGGTGACCCAAAAAAGAAAGAAAATCCCCAAAAAGAAAATACTTTCATCATCATTCAACACTTTCACCACATTCACACATTATCACTGTTTTTGCAGAGGTGCTCAGAATACAACAGTTTAGAAGCATATACGTATAAAGATACACAACATATCCCTCCAAACTGCCAATATCCCAAACCCCTCCTTTAAAGTGCAGGCATTGTACTTCCCATTTCCAGGACTCAAGTCCGACTATATGAAAATAACCGGTTTCCCTGAATCCCTTCACTAAATATTACCCTGCTCACACTCCAACAGATTGTCAGGTCCCAAGTACCATTCGTCTCCATTCACTCCTATCTAACACGTTCACGCACGCTTGCTGGAAGTCCAAGCCCCTCGCCCACAAAAACTCCTTTACCCCTCTCTCCAACCCTTTCGAGGACGACCCCTACCCCGCCTTCCTTCCCCTATAGATTTATATGCTTTCCATGTCATTCTACTTTGATCCATTCTCTCTAAATGACCACACCACCTCAACAACCCCTCTTCTGCCCTCGGACTAATACTTTTATTAACTCCACACCTTTTCCTAATTTCCACACTCCGAATTTTGTGCATAATATTTACACCACGCATTGCCCTTAGACAGGACATCTCCACTGCCTCCAACCGTCTCCTTGCTGCTGCATTTACCACCCAAGCTTCACATCCATATAAGAGTGTTGGTAGTACTATACTTTCATACATTCCCTTCTTTGCCTCCATAGATAATGTTTTTTGACTCCACATATACCTCAATGCACAACTCACCTTTTTTCCCTCATCAATTCTATGATTAACCTCATCCATCATAAATCCATCCGCCGACACGTCAACTCCCAAGTATCTGAAAACATTCACTTCTTCCATACTCCTCCCCAATTTGATATCCAATTTTTCTTTATCTAAATCATTTGATACCTTCATCACCTTACTCTTTTCTATGTTCACTTTCAACTTTCTACCTTTACACACATTCCCAAACTCATCCACTAACCTTTGCAATTTTTCTTTAGAATCTCCCATAAGCACAGTATCATTAGCAAAAAGTAACTGTGTCAATTCCCATTTTGAATTTGATTCCCCATAATTTAATCCCACCCCTCTCCCGAACACCCTAGCATTTACTTCTTTTACAACCCCATCTATAAATATATTAAACAACCATGGTGACATTACACATCCCTGTTTAAGACCTACTTTTACCAGGAAGTAGTCTCCCTCTCTTCTACACACCCTAACCTGAGCCTCACTATCCTCATAAAAACTCTTTACAGCATTTAGTAACTTACCACCTATTCCATATACTTGCAATATCTGCCACATTGCTCCTCTATCCACTCTATCATATGCCTTTTCTAAATTGATAAATGCAATAAAAACTTCCCTATCTTTATCTAAATACTGTTCACATATATGCTTTAATGTAAACACTTGATCTACACATCCCCTACCCACTCTGAAACCTCCTTGCTCATCCGCAATCCTACATTCTGTCTTACCTCTAATTATTTATTTATTTTATTATCACACTGGCCGATTCCCACCAAGGCAGGGTGGCCCGAAAAAGAAAAACTTTCACCATCATTCACTCCATCACTGTCTTGCCAGAAGGGTGCTTTACACTACAGTAGTAGGTTGGTTACCTGGAGGTTATTCCGGGGATCAACGCCCCCGCGGCCCGGTCCATGACCAGGCATCCCGATGGATCAGGGCCTGATCAACTAGGCTGTTACTGCTGGCCGCACGCAGTCCAACGTACGAGCCACAGCCCGGCTGATCTGGCACTGACTTTAGGTATCTGTCCAGCTCTCTCTTGAAGGCAGCCAGGGGTTTATTGGCAATTCCCCCTAATGCTTGATGGGAGGCTGTTGAACAGTTTTGGGCCCCGGACACTTATGGTGTTTTCCCTTAGTGTACCAATGTACCAATGTACTTTTTATTGGGGGCATTTTGCATCGCCTGCCCAGTTTATTACTTTCGTAGGGAGTGATTTCTGTGTGCAGATTTGGGACCATTCCTTCCAAGATTTTCCAAGTGTAGATTATGATACATCTCTCCCTCCTGCGTTCCAACGAGTACAAGTCAAGTGCTTCCAAGCGTTCCCAGTAGTTAAGATGCTTGACAGAACTTATACGTGCAGTAAAGGATCTCTGTACACTCTCTAGATCTGCGATTTCACCTGCTTTGAATGGAGATGTTAATGTACAGCAGTATTCCAGCCTAGAGAGAACAAGTGATTTGAAAAGGATCATCATGGGCTTGGCATCTCTCGTTTTGAAAGTTCTCATTATCCATCCTATCATTTTCTTTGCACGTGCGATCGTGGCACTGTTGTGATCCTTGAAAGTGAGATCCTCAGACATTACTACTCCCAGGTCCCTTACATTAGTTTTCCGCTCTATTGTATGGCCGGAGTCAGTAGTATACTCTGTTCTAGTTATTATCTCCTCCAGTTTTCCATAACGGAGTAGTTGGAATTTGTCCTCATTGAACATCATATTGTGTTTACCGTTGCCCACTGGAAAACTTTGTTTATATCTTCTTGGAGATTAACCGCGTCCTCAGCAGATGACAGCCTCATGCAGATCCTAGTATCATCCGCAAAGGATGATACGGTGCTGTGGTGTATATCTCTGTTTATGTCTGATATGAGGATAAGGAATAAGATGGGGGTGAGTACTGTGCCTTGTGGAACAGAGCTCTTCACTATGGCAGCCTCCGATTTAACTCTGTTGACCACTACTCTTTGTGTTCAATTTGTTAGGAAGTTGAAGATCCATCTCCCCACTTTCCCAGTTATTCCTTTAGCACGTATTTTATGGGCTATTACGCCATGATCGCATTTGTCAAATGCTTTTGCAAAGTCTGTGTATATTACATATGCATTCTGATTTTCTCCAGTGCATCCAAGGCCATGTCATAGTGATCCAGTAGTTGTGAGAGGCAGGAGCGACCTGCCCTGAACCCATGTTGCCCTGGATTGTGCAGATTTTGGGAATCCAGGTGATTTGCAATCCTGCTTCTTAGCACTCTTTCAAAGATTTTTATGATGTGGGACATCAGAGCTATTGGTCTATAGTTCTTAGCTAATGCTTTGCTGCCACCTTTATGGAGTGGGGCTATATCCGTTGTTTTAAGTGACTGGAATTTCACCCATGTCCAAGCTCCTCCTCCATAGTGTACTTAGGGCACGCGAGAGGGGTTTCTTGCAGTTCTTAATGAAAACAGAGTTCCACGAGTCTGGGCCCGGGGCTGAGTGCATAGGCATGTTGTCAATGGCTTTTTCGAAATCTATCGGAGTTAGGGTAATGTCGGAAATCTGGCATACATTTATGGTATACATTTATGGCATACATTTATGGTAGACAGCAATCACCCAGGTTAGTACTACCGTCCTGCCAGATAACTGTGAAACAGAAACCTGCAACTGTTTTGCATGATGGTAGGATTGCTGGTTTCTTTTTCTGTCTCATAAACACGCTAGATAATAGGGATATCTTGATACTCCTACTTACACTTTTGTCACACTTCACAGACACGCACATGCATATATATATATACATACATACATCTAGGTTTTTCTCCTTTTTCTAAATAGCTCTTGTTCTTCTTTATTTCTTCTATTGTCCATGGGGAAGTGGAAAAGAATCTTTCCTCCGTAAGCCATGCGTGTCGTATGAGGCGACTAAAATACCGGGAGCAATGGGCTAGTAACCCTTTCTCCTGTAGACATTTACTAAAAAAGAGAAGAAGAAAAACTTACCTCTAATTCTTTCAATTATAACCCTACCGTACACTTTTCCTGGTATACTCAGTAAACTTATTCCTTTATAATTTTTACAATCTCTTTTGTCCCCTTTCCCTTTATATAAAGGGACTGTACATGCTCTCTGCCAATCCCTAGGTACCTTCCCCTCTTTCATACATTTATTAAACAAAAGTACTAACCACTCCAACACTATATCCCCCACTGCTTTTAACATTTCTGTCATGATCCCATCAGTTCCAGTTGCTTTACCCCCTTTCATTCTACGTAATGCCTCACGTACCTCCCCCACACTTACATTCTGCTCTTCTTCACTCCTAAAAGATGGTATACCTCCCTGGCCAGTGCATGAAATTACTGGCTCCCTTTCTTCCTCAACATTTAAAAGTTCCCCAAAATATTCTCGCCATCTACCTAATACCTCCATCTCCCCATCTACTAACTCCCCTACTCTGTTTTTAACGGACAAATCCATACTTTCCCTAGGCTTTCTTAACTTGTTTAACTCGCTCTAAATTTTTTTTTTATTTTCATTAAAATTTCTTGATAGTGCCTCTCCCACTTTATCATCTGCTCTCCTTTTGCACTCTCTCACCACTCTCTTCACCTTTCTTTTACTCTCCATATACTCTGCTCTTCTTATAACCCTTTGCTTTGTAAAATCCTCTCATATGCTACCTTTTTCTCTTTTATCACATCTTTTACTTCATCATTCCACCAATCACTCCTCTTTCCTCCTGCACCCACCCTCCTATAACCACAAACTTCTGCCCCACATTCTAATACTGCATTTTTAAAACTATTCCAACCCTCTTCAACCCCCCCACTACTCATCTTTGCACTAGCCCACCTTTCTGCCAATAGTCGCTTATATCTCACCCGAACTTCCTCCTCCTTAGTTTATACACTTTCACCTCCCTCTTACTTGTTGTTGCCACCTTCCTCTTTTCCCATCTACCTCTTACTCTAACTGTAGCTACAACTAAATAATGATCCGATATATCAGTTGCCCCTCTATAAACATGTACATCCTGGAGCCTACCCATCAACCTTTTATCCACCAATACATAATCTAACAAACTACTTTCATTACGTGCTACATCATACCTTGTAATATTTATTTTATCCTCTTTTTCATAAATATGTATTACTTATTACCAAATCTCTTTCTACACATAGCTCAATTAAAGGTTCCCCATTTACATTTACCCCTGGCACACCAAATTTACCTACTACTCCCTCCATAACATTTTTACCCACTTTAGCATTGAAATCCCCAACCACCATTACTCTCACACTTTATTCAAAACTCCACAGGCATTCACTCAACATTTCCCAAAATCTCTCTCTCTCCTCTACACTTCTCTTCTCCAGGTGCTTCTCCAGGCGCTGATCCACCAGGAGGCCTGGTCACAGACCGGGCCGCGGGGGCGTTGACCCCCGAAACTCTCTCCAGGTAAACTCCAGGTAAACACGCTTACTATAACCCACTTTTCACATCCTTTATTTTACTCCACATAATCCTTGAATTAATACATTTATAGTCCCTCTTTTCCTGCCATAGCTTATCCTTCAACATTATTGCTACTCCTTCTTTAGCTCTAACTCTATTTGAAACCCCTGACCTAATCCCATTTATTCCTCTCCATTGAAACTCTCCCACCCCCTTCAGCTTTGTTTCACTTAAAGCCAGGACATCCAGCTTCTTCTCATTCATAACATCCACAATCATCATTATGTATCATCATAATAAGGTGCAACAGTGCAAGACATATTTCTACACATATTTTTTAAAGGAAAAATGAGTTTGCTTCTCAATAAATTTTTCTGGCAGTGGGTTAACTCTCCACCATTTTGTTTTAGTTCTCACCATCCTCCTCTCTCTCTCTCTCTTTAATCTTTATCAAGGAGGGGTGTTAATATTGCAGTTTAAAAACTGTAGTGTAAAGCACCCTTCTGGCAAGACAGTGATGGAGTGAATGATGGTGAAAGTTTTTCTTTTTTGGGCCACCCTGCCTTGGTGGGAATCGGCCAGTGTGATAATAAAAAAAATAATAAAAAAAATTAAACATAACCTGTAAGGGTTATAAACATGTTACACTCAAGCAAAACAATCTCCTCTCAATCCACCACAGCTGCCATTTCCAGTCACTCAATTCCCAAATTAACTAAATCAAAGGGTTTGCTGTAGATTAATCATTTAAAATAAGAAAACTAGAATAGTAAACTATACGTACAGTTAGTTTGTTGAAATATTAAACCAGTTTAAGAATGAAATGTATACTATAGAATAAAATATGTGTACACAATTTGGTGCCCATCAGCTAAACTTTTATGCTCCCCTCCCTCCTTCACTCCCTCTGAATCAGGATGACAACATAACTATTTTGCTTCTTGAGTCAGGCTGGTACCAGTCCAAAGAAAGTGAGATGGAATAATGGTAGCCAATTATAATTCAGTAATTAATTTTACTGTGAAATGTAATATATAAGTTCCAGTGCTTTCTTCAAGTTAATTGCACTTTTGTTCTTTGTAACCTCACTTCAGCTCATTTACCTCTTTTGCAAATTTTTACACAATAATTTTCTATCCTCATATTCAACTGTCCCTGTAAGCTTAAGTCAGTAACTTGGAGACTCACCCAGGAGGATACTGAAGAAAGTTAAGATGCCACCCATGCTGGCCCAAGGTATCTCCAACTTTGTAGATGTCTACCTCTTTACTGCCAAAGGCTACAATGGAGGCCAGAGGATCTCCAAACACCTGAATACTGGGATCATCCTTAAGCCTGTGTTGGAGTGGTTGAAATGAGGTGATGAAATCAAAGCATGAGGATTTACACAGTTAATGGATATAACATTCATGTGAGATTTAATAGGTGCTTTTTAACAATATTAGTAAAGATGTTGGCAGATGGGGAACTTTTGACTTTCTGGAAGTGAATTCCAAATTTTTGGGCCTTTTATCTGCAAAGAGGTTTTTAAATAGGGTGAGTTATACACATGTTAGTGTACATACTTGTTCTCTGTATTGTATTTGTGTTCTGTTGCAACTCTACATACACAACTTAAGCTCTGGGTTAGTGTCTGTATTGAGTGTCCTGTAATCATAGCATGCACAGTAGAAAGTGTGAATATTATATACATTAAGCAAATTTAAACTTTTGAATAAGTGGTGTGTGTTGTCTGGAGCCTGAATGAATAATTATTATGAGAGCTGATTTTTGCTAAGTAACAATGGGTTTATGGTAATTTCTTTGTCTTTCCTTTCTTCTGCCTAGGTGAACTCTGTTTTATGCGTTTTTCCCCTGAGTTGTTGTCCTATCCTCAAGGGCCATTAGCTCTCCTTCAATGCTACTTTTTCTTTTTTCTCTCGTTCTTAGATTACCTCTGCTATTACTACTACAGTACTACCAATACTGAAGTTTTTTCCAAATAAAGTCTCCTTCCTAGAAGTTTTCCACAATGTTACCAAGTGTGAAAGGCTTTACTTAGGACATAACCATCTTTTTCTAAAAAAAAATTTTCATTTTATAATTTCTATCTTAATATATAACTAATATATAGGCAATCAATCTTAAAACTGTTTAATCAAGTCACTTTTATCCACAATTAGAAGAGATACTAGATTTATTGGTGGCCTGGTGGCTAAAGCTCCCGCTTCACACACGGAGGGCCCGGGTTCGATTCCCGGCGGGTGGAAACATTTCGACACGTTTCCTTACACCTGTTGTCCTGTTCACCTAGCAGCAAATAGGTACCTGGGTGTTAGTCGACTGGTGTGGGTCGCATCCTGGGGGACAAGATTAAGGACCCCAATGGAAATAAGTTAGACAGTCCTCGATGACGCACTGACTTTCTTGGGTTATCCTGGGTGGCTAACCCTCCGGGGTTAAAAATCCGAATGAAATCTTATCTTATCTTATCCTGGACTGCTATCAACAGATCAAGATTTTACCAAAATATCATGCATTACATGGGCATGTAAGCAAGTTTATTCAGACACACAAATACAGTTACATAAATTATCATACATAGAAGTATATGTGTAGATTACCTAGGATAACTAAAAGAGTCAGACAAAATAACCTATTTCCATTGGGGTCCTTGTAGAAACTTATGATGCAGATTCACCCACATTGTTTTGCTGCAAATATATATTTTAATTTGTATTTTGAATCTGAACCATTTCCAGTCAAATGGTTCACAACCCCATTAAAATAGCAGGAAGAATAACAATAGTAATGGTTAAAAATTTGTGCAAGTTCTGTAAGCTAACCAAATACCCAAATTCATGAGATATTTAATTTATTATGCATGGATAGGCCTGCATCAAAATAAAAAATAAATAAAAAAATAAGGTATTATACTCACAGCCTCTTAATATTTCTAGCAGTTGTTATGATCTTTTGTGTAGCTTGTGTGTAGCCTGTGAAGCCATGGTAGAGTAGTGCTGCCCAGCACACAGCTACCAGCCCTGAACAATGACAAAACATAATACTGTATATGACATGATATAATCATTCAAAACAAAGAAACTATTTCTACAAAGTGGAATACAGTATATTATACAGTTAAACTGACTGACATATATATGACTACTTCATAAAAAATTAGTTAGTTTAATATCTTTATTAGCCCCTTTTATGCACAGCATGTTGGGTAGCCAAAAAATATGCTTGATTAAATTAACAGAAAATAGGTTACAATAGATGTACAGTATTATTTTTTGTCTCCATGACATACAAATGGATAAAGCATTGTATATTCATCCTTATTTACAATTATACATTACTGTATATAGCAAACGTTGTTTGACTGCATATTTACTAAATAAGTCCACTTAAGAAATGCTTAACACAAATTCACTAATAGAACAATAATACAGTAGACAACAAGTCTATTCAGTGACTACCTGTCCCACAGTTAATAATCAGGTTAGGTAAGGTTTGTCAGGAAACAGGACAAGTATTTCCTGACGCGGTCTCAGTCAAATGATGACCCAAATTATTATTATTATAATCAAGGAGGAAGCGCTAAACCCGGAGGATTATACAGCGCCTGGGGGGGGGGGGGATGTGGAAGGCATTCAGGCTTAATTCGGGGAACTGGAGCACAGATCCAATTCCCTAAATCAAGAGCCCCTCACCAACATCAAGGAACCTTCCTTGAGGGGTTGATGACCCAAAGCTGGAGCTCTTGGTCATCTGACTCGAGACCTTCCCATGGCTTACCGGTCAACCCCTTCAAAAATTATGGTCATGATTATAACTACTTCTCTATTTTATAATTGCCTATTGGTGCATATTTAGAGCTATTGGAATAGGACTAGGTTAGTGGTGTTCCTTCTTCAGTCAGTATTTAGGCTATCAACAACTATTTTGTAATTAGCAGTGAAACTAGCATTAAATGTCTCTTGTATACTAAGATAAAAGGGTGCTACTTTAGCGTGCGATCTACCAGCTTATTTACACTAACCTAACCTAACCTAGGTTAGGTTAGGTTAGTGTAAATGAACTGGTAGGCCTAACCTAACCTAGGTTAAGTTAGTGTAAATAAACTGGTAGGCCTAACCTAACCTAGGTTAGGTTAGGTTAGTATAAATGAGCTGGTAGACCACACGCTAAAGTAGCACCAGTAAAAGACTAGAGAATTTGTACACCAGAATGCTTGGGACCAAGAAATGCTTCCAATCAGATTCTTTGGACAATCGAAAAAAAAATTAAGATACGAAATATTCATCCCCAAATTAATTAATTACAATACAGCCAGTTCCTTCAAGAAGGATGCCTTGATACATCCAGTTCCTTCAAGAAGGATGCCTTGATAATGGTGAATGGCTCTCGATCCAAGGAGTCAGAGCTGCCATTTTTTTCCTTGGATCAAAACTGATTGCCTATTTCCCATGGTATAGCCTTTATGAGTTTAGCACTTTCCTATGAATATGAATACAGTAAAATAAAAAAAAATAAATAATGAGTAATAATAATAATCACAATAATAATAATAATAATAATAATATCTCCGTGAGAAAGTGAAAAAGAAATCTCCCTCCGTAAGCCTTGCATATCTTAAGAGGCGACTAAAATGCAAGGAGCAAGGGGCTATTAACCCCTTCTGCATAAATTACTAAATGTAAGAAAAACTTTTTTCCAGTCACCCTACCTCGGTGGGAGACGGCCAGTACGTTAATAATATTAATAATAATAATAATAATATAATAATTATTAATAAAATAATAATTATTATTATTATTATTATTATTATAATGACATTCAGTTTCACTGATGCAATACCTCCAGGGCGGGATCCAGGTATGGTGGGGGAGCCATAGATGCCCCCAGGCCAATCAGGAACAACAAAGTACTGGTAGTGACGGTGCTCAGCACTCTGGTACATGATCACGCTTGATCCTTTAGGCGCATTCCCATACTGAGGGGACCATATGGGAGGGAGACATTTCTATTGTAGTCACAATGTATAATTAAAATACAATATGTATGTATTTATTACAGCATTTATCTATATGCAAGTACTGTATCCACTAAGAATATAAGTCACAATGCTATAGCTGGAACAATTCACAGATATAATAACCCACAATTTAGAAAAGAAACTGGAAGACGTTTCGGTCCATCCTGGACTTTCAACTTGATTAACATCCAAGTCAGACCGAAATGCTCTCAGTTTTCTCTACACTGGTTTTCCCTACATGTGATTGATCAGACCCTGATCCACCATGAGGCCTGGTCTCAGAACGGGCCGCGGGGGCGTTGACCCCTGAAACCCACCCTAGGTATACACCTGGTATTTAGGTGTAGAGAACGAGGCAAAACTTAAGGATGCAAACAATCATTGAGCTTTATTGTTTGTTACCTTGTGAGTGTCAGCCGAAATGCTGGTGACCCCTGGAACACGGAAGTCAAACAGAGGAAGAGGGTAGCCAGCAGCTTCCATAAAGGGAAGAATGAAGCCACCCATACAGCAGTCCACATGCACGGGTACATTGTAGCGCTGGCCCAGAGCACCAATCTCTTCCACATCATCAATAATGCCATGAGGGAACTGAGGTGCAGATGCTACCAGCTGCAATCACAAGGTTTTTTAAATGCAGCTTTAAAAGTGTTGAACTAGAAGGGTTGTAGTAGCATTATTATTATTATTATTATAATCAAGGGGAAAGCCCTAAACCCGGAGGATTATACAGCGCCTGGGGGGGGGGATGTGGAAGGCATTCAGGCTTAATTCGGGGAACTGGAGCACAGATCCAATTCCCTAAATCAAGAGCCTCTCACCAACATCAAGGAACCTTCGTTGAGGGGAGTAGCATTAGTAAAAGCTGAAAATTTACATTAAAATTAATCTATACATAAACTTAATTCTCTATGGACACACTAAATATTTCATAAGATGATCCAAGTTGGAGATTTAGAAACCTTGCAATGATGCAGGCTTTGTTTCTTGGTAATCACATTTTACACCTTCGTGACCCCCTCTCTCCCATATACCTACCAAGACCAGTCCTGTGTCCTATCACTACTTCCTCACTTATGCTAGGACTACTACTGCCATTATTTTTAACCTTGCACCCTTCAAAATTATGAATGACAAGTCTTTGAGCGCAGCGAAGACTCGACCCTTCAACCACAAATAAATGAATATAATCTTTCCCCCTCCAAGAAGACTTACCATGACAGTGTTGCTGTTGATGGCTCTCTGCATGGCTGACAATTTGACTTTACAAGTTTTTGGGTCCATGTCCACCTGTTTAAAAAAGTACAGTATATTTATACAATCTTTATATAATAAAAAAATTAATCAGTGATTTTGTTATTATGAATTCCCACTTTGTCTTAACCAAATAACTTGTGGAAAATACTGTATATATTTTCCAGAAATTCAGTATTTATATGTAAAAAGATGGCCATACTGTATTTAACAATATTTGTCATAGAAAACGGAAAGCCTGTGTCTGCACAGACGAGACTCGCCATCTTGGTTTTGAATTTTGTACAAACGTTGGTGTAATGGGAAGAATTTTTCGTGCTCTAGAGGTTAAAATTGTGCTGACACCTCTCAAATAGGAGGCGAAATTGGTGGATATGCATTCCTGCATAACTTGAGATATCAGGCGACTGGACAAGACCTCTCCAGGAACCTCAGATAAGCTCTCTAGATTTGTGTGTAATTCTGGCCAGCATTATTTTCATAGATTTAGTTAAGAGTGAGGTTTTCTGAGTATGATACACATTAATCTCCAGTCAAATTGGTGAGTGATATTAAGATATATTTTCCTTCTGTTATGTAATTGTGTATATATATAACCATTTATTATTATTAATATACAGTCCACAAATTTATATATTTATCAGTATTCATGGTGTATGTATATTTCATTTAATTAATAGGTCCAGAGCAACTCGTGGTTATGACAGTGGTAGATATCGAAGGGGGACATTTTGTGCGACCTAGGTGTCCCAAATTCCTACTTGTCTATGTAACTCTGATAAATAATAATTATCTTTTGTGGAAAATTGCATTTACTTGAATGTATAATTATATACATAACAGTAAATGAACAATGATAACTATTATTTATCAGTTAGACAAGTAGGAATTTCGGACACCTAGGTCGCAAAATATGTCCCCCTTCGATACCTACAACTGTCTTATCCACAAGTTGCTTCGGACCTATATAATTAAATGAAATATTACTACACCAGGAATACTTGGTAAATTTTTTAAATTTGGTGGACTGTATATTAAAAATAATATATATGGTTATATATTTATACACTATTACCTTACAGAAGGAAAATATATCTTAATATCACTCCCAATTGTCTGGAGATGTAATGTGTTTCATACTCAGGAAAACCTCACTCTAACTAAATCTATGAATATAATGCTGGGCAGAATTACACCACAAATCTGAGAGCTTATCTGAGGTTCCTGGTGAGGTCATTGTCAGTCGCCTGGATATCTCAAGTTATGCAGGGAATGCATCTCCACAATTAGCCCTCCTTTTGAAGGTTGTCAGAGCACAATTTTAACCTCGTAGAGCACCGAAAAAATTCTTCACCTATCACAAAACGTTTCTAATACAAATTAAAAAACCAAGATGGCGATCCTCTGTGCAGACGGCAGGCTTTCGTTTTCTATGTACATAAATCTTAATTAAAACTACAGTATGGCCATCTATTTACAAATAAATACTGAATTTCTGGGAAAATATTGTTACAGTTTTTCACACACTCGGACGGCGGAGTTACATTGCTAACGACTCAAAATTGACTCATTTGACCACATTGTGTGGAGGACTGGGCTACATATAGGATCTGGGCATCCACCTCCGGCGACTATTACACAAGATTTAATCACCTTTTTAAACTTTGCCGTCCTTGTGGGAATCCAGAAAGTTTCCCTAATACAATTTAGTTTTCTATGTATCCAGACCATGCTTTACATTTTTAGGGCATTTAGAACAATCAAAATTGTTAGATGATAAGTTTTCGGCAGAAGATAGGGTGTTTATCATATCACCCAATTCAGCTTTTTGTAATCTACTCTGCACATAATTTCATGGTTCTCTAAATTAAGCCACCAATTTCTCTATTATGGAACCTTTCACAATTTTTCTTTACATCATCAATTTTAATCTCACTTCCATAGATTTCCTACTGTACCCTCTTTATCCCACTATTCAAGGGATGTGAAAACTTAAATGAAATATTCATCTTGTTTGAAATTAAAACACCAACTTAGTTACATTGATTAGTTTGGGTAAAAAGGAATACCTATTTATATCAATGGCTAAGGGAGGACAACTACTGAGACGGTGGGTCACAGTAATTTCAACAGAAAGCAATATACGCCTTTTGTACAGGCAATTAGCTTTATTACAAACCATCCCATTTCTACTTTTTTTTTTTTTCTTCTTTCTTTCTTATGTCCTTTAAACCATGATACAGCATTTAAAAAAAAAATTTAGAATAAGGTAAACCCGAGACAAGAATCAGCTGGAATTCTCCTCACCAGGTATATGATTAAATGTTAACATATGCTGACCCAAACTATTATACCCCTCTCTGCATCTGATAAATTTCAGCGACTCTGTATTTGTACATAACAATTTTTACTGTTTCCATGCGAATCCATTGTAAGGAAACCTCATTATCACCGACCAATTACAGTGTCCCCCCCTACTAATATTTACCTCCTGCAACTTGTTTTCTTATATATTTAGCTAATATGACACCTACATAAATGGCTGTTTAATTCAAGGACGCAAGGTTCGTGATTTATTTGGAGGACACTTAGCTTGACATAAGAGAGAAATAACTTACTTACATTGAAGGTAAGCAAATGCTCCATTGCCAATTTTGAAGCATCTCAAAAATGTGGAGTAATTTTTCCCATTTGGATTGGCCACCTGGCGTGGGAACTCCAACATTGGAATTTTCTTTTTTCATAATCACCAATTAATTCATCCCACCTGTTAATGAATTCCTCAGGTAGAATTTCATCCCAAGCACATTTAAGTTTTCCATGCTTCCTGAATTAATATTTCCACTCTATAGTAAGGGTGATCACTACCTAGTGGATCAAAACATTGGAAACTTCAGCAAGCAAAAACTCTTTTAGTTAATTTATTGGGCATACAGTAAATTATTAGGTTTTTAAATTAAACAAATCTCTCTCCAGTATCTCATTTAAACCCAGTACATTATACTCCATTTTGCACTTCATCCCCAGAGGTAATCTTTGCTTATTTTGATCTTCAATTTGGACGATTACTATTCCTCATTCTCTCAGAGGCATATTTGCACTTTGCATTATTTTACTTAGCCTCTCCATAAGTTTCATTAACAGTTCCTCTTCAGTTGGACGTCACACCAGGAAATTGTCCCATCCCCCCTCCACCCCCCCCCCCCCTCTCCCCCCCCCCCCCCCCCCCCCCCCCCCCCCCCCCCCCCCCCCCCCACCCCCCCCTCCCCCCCCCCCCCCCCCCCCCCCCCCCCCCCCCCCCCCCCCCTTCATAAAATTGTTTGGATCATTACTTTACTCAATGGACTTCCCGTACGTTTAAGGTGTGCATTTTCGTCGCTTGAAGTAGGAATGGACTGGATGTTAGCACCAAATGATACGCTCCTACAAGCGAAAGGTTTTCAGAGGGATAAGTGGGTCACTAGGATTCTCAGGACTTAAGATGTGGGTACGGTCCCGGTCAGCCTCTCTTGTAAAACCCACTCTTAGGAATGCTTTACTTTTGTCAGCCGTATAAGGCCATAATGCTTCACTCTTGAAATTTAATAAGATATCTCCTATTTTTCCGTCAACGAAGGGAACTGTCATCAAAACAGTTATTTAACTAGGTAATTTTAGTTACTCATGGCATACAATTTAAACACATTCCTCAAAGGAGTGGTCTTAGAATCCCTTCTTCACTCTGTGATGTGGCAAATAGTGACTCCATAATTTTTGGCTTGCTCAGGAGGTACCTCTTCTATAAAATTTATTAATTAACTGTTTAGTAATATATCATTATAGGCAGGTTAAACATTCTGGTGTCTTACTCAGTTTGCAGAGCTGAACCTTTAATTTTCCATTTGCCATTCTGTAATTAGTGGGCAATTCTGGATGGTTCAGTCTCCAGGAAGTCGTACCAGTATTGTCCAGATTCAAATTTTAAATCTCTCAGGTATTGCTCTGAGTAAAAGAATCGGGGGGTCTGATTTCTTTCATTTATTTATACAATGACTGTCTAATTTCCACAATTATGCACTGGCTCAACACCAATCCACTATGGAATGAATTATACTGGGGTACGATTTCATGAGTAAGGACACACAAGTTATGGTATTTGTAGAGTTTCCTTAGTAATGGAATTATTATTACGAGGAATCCTACCATTACATTACATGGGCCTCCGCGTTCTTCAAACAGGGTGACACCACCCATTTCTTTACCATACCTTACAATGGAGTCATAAATAGTTACTACTATCAAAATTTTTATGGGGCCTCTGAATCGTCACTTACACCTGAAGGCGCTAAAATTTACATTATGTGAAAGCCTGTCTGTACGCTTTACTAAGCCCTACTGCAGTTATTTTCTCTGGAAGTCTTATCTACAATTATCTGCATTAACACGTTTTTTCTCATTTGCTCAACCTGACAGTTACATAAACAGTGTCATACAATTGAGACCTTTTATCCGAGAGAAAACCAGATAATTTTAAAGGTTGTGGGATCCTCCCTCTGTACTTTCATTACCATCAAAGACATTGCGTTTTTTGTGAAGTACGCTGGGATCCCTGGTCCAATAATGCAATTTACATTTTTTGAATTTATTCCTTTTTCTCAATTTTTACCTGTACACCAGGTAAGGCTATTCACCAAACCATCATATAAAACATTAGCAGCAATTTTTTACATTAGCTACTGTTGTGTCAGGATTGTAACATTATATTATTATCAACATTATCATATAGACCTTACAAATGACTATATGGTGTCTTCCTTTGTTGACATTGATAACAGAAGTTTTAATTTGGCTAAACAATCCTTTAACATTGGATTACCTAACATCTGTTTCAATCTGTCCCTAAACCAAATTCAACTTCATCATTCCATGAATTGTATGCATTGAAGAAAGATAATCTCTCTTTTCTCTGACTGGTTTCTTAATTAACTGGCTATCTTAGGAGGGTACTAATCTTTTCCCTCTGAATCATTATTCTGATTCTTGCTAATTGATATGCA